TGTTGATTTTAGCTCCCTGAAGCCAACCCTGTAAGCCGTGTCCTCAGTCGCCCCTCCCTGCATCAGAGCAACGGCAAACAATCGTGCATCTGAGTTGAGAGTGCTGTCCAGAGCGGTCACAATGGAGCACTCTGGGATAGCTCCTGGAGGCCAATACCGTTGAATTGTGTCCACAGTACCCCAAATTCGAGCCAGCAAGGTCGATTTAAGCACTAATCCACTTGTCGGGGTGGAGTAAGGAAATCGATTAAGAGCCCTTTAAGTCGAAATAAAGGGCTTCATCATATGGACGGGTGCAGGTTTACATCGATTTAATGCTGCTAAATTCGACCTAAAGTCCTAGAGTAGACCAGGGCGTACTTGACCAAGGATTGTCGTATGGGGCCCTTGCAGGGAGGGGGACCATCTGTGGAGGAAATAAAACGTGTATCCATGTACATATTAAAAAGCTGTCACCGAGGGTCCGGTGACCTTGGGAATTGCTGAAATGTTCAGAGCTCATCCAGGGGGCATATTGGTGCTGCTGAATTTATTGGGCATCTCTTAAGGTACGTGGAGTCTGAACAGCGATTTCCTCAGAAATTGCAGCCCCAGCACCCCTTTCCTGTTAGGAACAAAGGAGTTAAACCCATGGCTCTGTAATGGTCTTGTGGGCAGTTCCTGAGGGCCAAAATTCATCCCCGGGCAGAGAGCTCATGCGGGGCCCTGTAATAAGGGCTTAAATGATACTTAATGCTTTGCGTGGGCCCTCTGCCTTGGCAGCACTCCTCATAAACCAAGTTGCCACTCCCTTGTCCCTACACTTACTGTCTGCCCTGTGTTATGAGTGGGGAAATAGCCCTGGGAAAGGACGAGCAGTATTTCCTACTCTGCATTTCAACCACTAGAAAAGAAGGGCTTGAGTTAATTTAGAACCATACAAACATTTATGAAAATACTTTGCACTTTGCGAAGCTGTTTTTGCAACCACTGGCTAGATCACAAGAAACAAACAAATTCATTGCTAATTAGATCTTGATGCATCTGAATATAAATTTCAGACCTATAAACCTTCAGACTGTAAGTGTTTAAATTTGCCAAGTTGTACAGTGTCTAGCACAACGGGGGCCCAACCCTCACCGGGGCTTGTGGCTGCTACTGTAACATACTTGTTGCATTCTAGCCCATTATTACTCATATATCCCCATTATGCTTTTTGCCCTTTCAAGTGAGCTGAAGGATACAACGCTATCTAGTATTTGTGGCAGTGAGGAGATAGCATAGTAGTGCAAAAGTGGCCCTGAGTGTAAGTTATCCAGAAATTCACGATCTTGTACGCTTGTGTGTTCCACTGACTTTTTTTCTTAAACTGCTCTCCTGGGGTGACTGTGTACAACTTGCCAGCACACAAGGGGTTAACCATCTGTACAGATGGAAACCAGGTTTTGCGCATGTGCGCAAATGACTTTTCCCCTTCTGACTGAAACAAAATCATAATCTCCATTTACAGAGCCATTTTATGCCAGCTGCAAGTCACTGCTTGACTTCTTGCCCTTCTTGATATGGCTGCATGCCAAAGAGTTTACGTTCCATTCGTGAGTCTGCCTAAGCAAGTTTAACTTGCCACACACTTTTAAAGTTAACAAAAATGAGAACTCGTTCTGCTTTATCACTTGTCCGTTTTGTTTTGTAAGAATGCTGAACTCTGCATCACAACAGCAGTACTCGAATCAATTACATTGATTTTTAACTGCAATACAATCCTTTTCCTTTTGGATCTAATTTAGTTTTCAAACACAGAACTGTTAGTGGGTGGGTGTGTGAGCTCTTGCTTAGGGCTTAATTCTGCCCTAAAGGTGACCATGTGGGACACTCTTTCCCTTTAAGGGAAACCCTGAAGGGGCATCTGAGTCACAACTTGGCTTTAACCTTGTGTGATTTGCTCTGTAAAGCATCTCTGCAGTTTTATGAAAAGCTGCACAATTCCCACCTATCCCCTACAGATGGCCCTGTGGGGTTCTGGTACTAGGTATTAGGCAAAGATTTTAGAGCTCTTATGTGAGAAAAGACTTCCAAACATTTGTAGTTCAGAAAATGATGTTTAAGGGTATGAACTGACTTGTTCTTTAAAAAGCCAACATGAAACAACTGTATGTCGAGTGACAAAAGCCCTATGTGAAATACTTCACCAAGTATACTGTGAAATACTGGGGCCCTGAGGAGAACATTCTCCACATTTCTCTTGTATTAGGAAGAATATGCAGCAGAAGGTCTAGAGTGGTCTTTCATAAACTATCAGGATAACCAGAGCTGTCTAGATCTGATAGAAGGAAACCCTGTCAGCATCTTTTCTTTGCTGAATGAGGTAAGTTTGAGCTGAACTGATAATACTGTCTCGCCTGCTTTTCTTCCTTTCCTCAACTGTCTCCGAAAATGACCAAAGAAAACAAGTCTGATAGCAGGTATACAGTGTGTACATTCTATTTAGCACGAAACCTGCCAGCAGTGAGCTTCATAGTAGATTCACTTAAAGGCGAAAGAGCCAACTGTTCCCATAATACGATACGGGAGCTTCTTTTCCCCACATCCCTCCCCCAGTTTTGCAGGGTATCCCAGGCACTCCATTGATGTCAAACATAGAACCCCAATGACTGGGTCACTTTTTTTTAAAGTACTTTAACATTAAAGGACTTGGAATACCAAATGCAACATCGACCTTAAGGCATTTTACTTGTCTAAGTATACTAATGCCTGAAAGATTTTATTTGTTGCGCAGGTAAAGTTTGCCTATATCAAATAGGACATGCTGCAATTCTACCTTTTGTTTTCATTACACAGGAGTGTCGTCTGAACAGGTCCTCTAATGTCGGCCAGTTCCAAACCCGAATTGAGAACGCTTTGTCTCATAACGGGTGCATAAGCCGGGACAAGTTTAGTAAGAAGCCAAACTTTGTTGTTTCCCATTATGCTGGCAAAGTCTGTTACCAAGTGGAAGGTATGGTGGAGAAAAACAGGGTATGTATTTTAAAAATAAAAATAAGCACATGGCTCATGAAAGAAGCTAGCCTTAAAATAGTGTTTAACTGCTGTTTAACATGGTGCATGCATCCACTACTAGTAGATGACTGTTTTGGCCATGTGAAAGGGGTTGATCATCTCAGTCCAGTTCCTAGTGAACAATCACCAGGACAGGTAGCACCTTTGGTAGCAGGCTCAGAGGCCCAAGGATTAAGGGAGCCATGCAGACTCCATGACCTCTCGCCCCTAAAGATGTTCTCTCCAGGGTTTGGTCATATTGCTGGGGCAGCGTAGAGGCGTTTGCACTACTGTTGCATATTGTGACTAGCGGACATCAGCTTCCAGAACTGTCATTGTGCATTTAATTATGAATATTAAATTCAGATTTTAAACTTCCACATGATCAGGGAAACAGCAGCATGGACTTACCTTTGGCCGTTTACTAATATCACATGGAAACTTAAAACTTAGCGTCTTTCTGCACCATGCCTACCAGGAAGTTAATGAGGTAATCTGTGAACACTAGAATCTATTTTATATTATGTCATTTCTGATACGGCAAGTCACCTTTTTTGCAAGGAACTTTTAAAAAATGGTATTGTGATGCAGTGAATATCATCTCTTATTCAGCATAGGAAAGTGTTTTAATGTCCATTATGAGGACTGCCTGATGATTAGTTAACTAGCCCTAGGGCAGCTTAACTTAAACTAAACTCCATGAGTGCTTTAGTCTTCTCACTGTGCCATCCCTCCATAAGAAAATGCTAGTAACAGACACCATTTTTAGTAAATATGGTCTAACTCTCAGCATTTTCCTGTATTTGTGAATTCATATTCAATACATGGGGTCAGATCTGAAATGGTGTCTAAACCATTGCTTTTGTTGAGTAATAAAATTCTGATACAGCCTATTTACTAACCTTATTGACGTCAAATGTGATGACTATTTAGTTACATCTTTAAGGGTGCCTTATGTATCCAAGTAACTCCACCAAATTCTAGTGACGTGTATTTGCTGATATAGGACCCAGTTCCACTGGAGTTACTCCAGCTTCTGAAGAATTCCCAAGACTGCTTGCTTCAGAAGTTCTTTCCCATGACAGAAAAGAGCCAAAATGATACCAAAACCCAGAACAGAGCAGCAGCAGTTACAGTGGTCTCCAAGTTCAAGGTTTGTTTTGTTTGAGTGATGCTACTTACATACTATATCCTTCTGCCTGATTTCTGCTGCTGTCTTCAAGTAACTTATGGTAAAATCCTTCCATTTATTTCCTGACTCTGTGCCAAATAATGTTTTGATACACTGGTATAAAACTCCACTGTTGAGTAGAGAGCCTCTGTATTTAAACAAGTAGAAGTTGGAGTCTGTTGTACTTCCTTTGTGCTTTTTAACCCATCTTGTGGCTGTGTGTCAAACCGATACCTCTGTCTCCGGACTTGCTACAACCCCAGGCATAGAGCAATCAATCCACGTACGAACATTGAATTACCCCCAAAATAAAAAAGTGCCAGAAGCTATCTTTAAAGGAATACTGATCATTTGTTCTAGCTGTCCTAAAAAAAAACAAACCAGCTGTGCTTATTATGCTGAAATTAAGCAGTTCTGGTCTTGTGGGCCTGTGAACACTGCCATGAATAAACATCAAGATTTTTTAAAAACATAATTATTGATTAGCCAAACTACTCTGGAAAAACAAAAGGGCCTCAATATGGCATGGTCATTAATAATTGCTATGTTTGTTTCTATAGGGTTCACTTGAACGTCTGATGCGGATCTTGCATAGCACTACACCTCATTACATCAGATGCATCAAGCCTAATGCTGATTGCAAGGCAATGACCTTTGAAAAAGAGGAGGTAACTCTACAAAGAATTTTCCTCAGAGTCCATGTCTTTCCATTGGTTTCATACTGAGCTTTGCATCAGGCCCTGTATGATATGGATTGTAAAGCACTTTTCTTAGCAAATAACTTGAAAGTTTCATTTGAGACAAAGGAACTTACCAGAGGTATCATAGATGATACTTAAACTTCTCCAAACTAGGGTGAATCTTCAGTGAGGATCTCTTCACTGCAGCTTCATTGATAAATACTGTGTATGTGAAACCTCAGTTTCTCTTAGATGATGCTGTTCAGTACAAGTTTGGATTTAGTGGTTTGGGGGGCTTGGAGCGCACTCAACCTAGCTCTGAGTCAAGACACATCTTAATGGCACAGTCTATTTTAGAATACACACCTTTAAGCTGTGCCTACTCCTAGTTTCTATACAAGGAGGTCTGCCAACTCGGATGAGAACAGCTGAAATGCATGCTGAGTGGGAGGTTCTTTGGGAGCTGAGCAATTGTAGCTAAACTTGGAGAGTCTCAGCTGGTGTTAAATCAAAAGCTCTGTTGAATGGAGCTATGCTGATGCTTATATCTACAAAGGATCTATCTTGATGGTCCTTTATTGACATTAAAAACAAGAATCTGGTTTGAAAATTCAGGATAAGTTTCCTGCCACTTGTGGTGAGGCACATAGGTGGCAAATCCTCAGTACAAATTGCAGGTAAAAGTTTAGCTTGGGGTTGGAGCAAAACAACCTACTTCACAAAGTAAAGGAACTTCTGCCACTAGTGAATGAGCTGAATGTGTGAGGGGGTGGAAATCGGACACCTAACGAAATTAAGTTTCAAGACTTCTGGCAAACTGTCTGGGATAGGACAGTCCTGTCTAACTCTCTGCTCAGAGTTAAATGTAATGTATCATTTGTTTTAACACACTCACGCTACAGTACTTAAGCTAAACTCCCACTGCAGTAAGTGGGAGATGAGCTCCATAACTTTGCCGTCTTTCAAAGAATCAACAGATTTGAGAGATTGAACAGGTGAATGTTAATTGCTCTTGGAAACTTTTTGAATAGAAAGGTTCAAGTCTTTTGAAAAACTTGTAGGTTATCAAAGGTAGTTTGCACTGATAGAAACCCTGGTAAACAATACCTAAACAGAATGAAAGTGTTTACATTCATGCTATAGGTTCTCAGTCAGCTTGAGGCATGTGGCATAGTAGAAACTATCGGCATCAGTGCAGCTGGATTTCCTATTAGGTAAGTCCTAATGAATTTTAAGTTTCTCGTGTTTACTTTACTTTATCTTCAGAATATAGCTGCTTAGTCTTCATAAGACAGATTTGTCTAGTGTAACTCCGCTGGCTTCCACAGAGTTTGACCAGGGACAATTTCATCCCTCTCTACGTATTTATATTACAACGTAATTGTTGAGTACTTGTTATCATAGAGATTGAGTGGGCAGATAAGCTCTTACCTGATTAGCCAAATGTAAATTGGCAGGAAACCTACATATTCTGCTGTATGGCTTATTTAGACAAATGCACCTTGGTGAAGAATTTCACAACAGTGTAGAGAATTTTAGATGCATATTCCGCTTATTTAAACAGAAGAGGCCTAAATTCCCCACCTTCCTTTTTAAAATCTCCATGCTGAAAGGCAACAGCCCTATGACCTGTTGGCTTAAGAAATATGGGTATAAGATTTGTCACCTATGTCCATTTCTCCACCCCCACATCAGTGTAACAGTTCATTATGCTGCCACTAGATCAGGTCAGCCTTTGTACATGACAATTTTGAAATCTGCCAGTGGCACAGACAAGTCACTTAATTATTCTGTTCTTAGTAAGGAATTTTGTATTCTGAGACTGAGATTTGGAGAACCAACCGGGGATTTAGCAACACAATTCCCACTAATTTTTAGTTAGCTAATGTCTAAATCCATTAGCTTTTGGTGGAGATTTTTGAAAACCAGCTATCATGAGTGCTGTCTCTGGATTTTTCTCATAGAAACAGTGGGTTTTTAAAGCCATCTGAGCAATTCTTTTGTAGGGTTGTCCTGTATTTAAGAGCCAAGACTTAACACAGCAGAATAGCTTTGATGCAGTAAGTCACAGTGATCTCTCTGGGCAGTGATAGCTAGCTTGCCTCCAGTAGTAAAACTCTGAGTTTAACCAACTAAAAATGGAATAATCCTGTTAAACCAGGGCATGGAATATCTGCTGTTGCAGTGTAGAATTCCCTAAACAAAAACTAAGTCTATACCTGTGTGCAATGGAACCTTGCTCATCCTTTCCTTTAATAATCCACACCAAAAATTAGTTTTTTTTTCATTAAAAGATAATTTTTAAGCATTTGAGCCATACTGTAAATGGTACTCATGTAGGATTGATTTTCATTTTGGCTGTCAGGGTCTCCTTCCAAAGTTTTACTGAGCGTTATAAAGTGCTGGGAAAATCACATACATCCAATACAATGCCAGATGAAAATGGTTTCTCTCCCGCTAAGAAGAAAAGAGGTAGGTTTTATTCATTTCACTCAGCTCACTGTAGTATACAGAATTTCTTGATATTGCATAAATCAAATACAGCTACTGTATTATCACATGTTCAGTTTTGGGGAAGTACCTCATTTTTGAGCTTTCATAATATTTTTACATTCTAGTCATTAATTTAATTTCCATACAATCTGGCATTTAAGGCAGGTTTTTAAAACTGTTTAACTAAAATTACTTCCATGCTAAACCCTCCATCTTTGTGCAGATGGCTGTATTCTCATCTGGAGTAGAATACGATTTTTCAAATGATCCTGTTTTTTCTTTTGTGAATATTTTTATGTTTTTTGCATTAGATAAGTAAACTGAAGAATTTTAGTGTTTCTTTTTGTTTGCTTACGGTCCTTTCTCTGTTTCATGTATCTGTTGCCAAATATACAATTGGCCTCTAGCTTTACTGGATTCTGCTGCTGCTATTATACTGCTTCTTCTACCTTTCGCAAACTTCTCTGTGCGAGTCTGTATTTCAGAGCAACAATTGAGGATGCACTGTAAAAAGTAATCCTATTCACAAGGTAATACATATGCTGTGAATTCCTGAAAGAGGGGCTATTAGGAGACGTACCAGCTCATTCATTGTTAAATTTGGCATGGAAAGTATCTGCAACGTGCACCATATTAATCCATTTTTTAACCTTAATCTAATTAAGTTTGTACATCTAACTTTTAACATAAAAAAGGAAGCCCGGTAAGCTAGGAAACATTGGTCATTGGTGCAAGAGGTTCTAACTCGCTCAGTCTCCTTGTATCTGGGAAAATAACAATTGCTTAGCTTTGGTTAGTTATATGCAGTAAAGTATAAGCAGATAAATATTTTGTCTGTGGCTCGCCATTACAAATTTACTGGACACTGGCCTGGGAAATGCCTTCTCCTGACTAGCTACTTTCCCTGTTTATTGTAGTAGGTAACAGGTTGAGGATGAAGAGGAGGAAACTATTTCCTGTTGAATAAGCAATACGGCTGTTGGTTCCCAGTGGTGGTCAATGGAAGCACGGCTCATCCCCAGGTGTTCTGTTGGCAAGAAAAGCAAAACTTCAGCATTCAGCCTAAATGTACTGCTTATTCCAACTCTTCCATTTCCTAAAGAGAAATAAGTTTTGCAACGAACAAGCAGAAACGCATGCATTGTTAGGGGTGGAAAGATGCAGGGATTTCCAGCTTCCTATATTTGACATTCAGAATCACCAGGCAGTACTATTTTATACTCGGGAAGAGCTATGTAGTAGTTCTAGCCTGAATTGTCTATCCTCCAGTCTTCCTTCTTCCAAAAGAAAAATTAACATGTGAAACCTTTTCTCAACCAATTTCCCTCATTCTCGTGCTCACTCTGCTGTCCCTTCTTTATTTTTTGGCAATTTCCTAATAACGTGACTAGAACTGTGTCCATCCTATCTCAGAAGTGGCCAGAATAATCCCTCATTCATTGACAGAATCATCTCCTATTTAGGTATCTCAAATGTTTCCCTTTTAAAACTACAATCTAAAGCACTGTGGTGAAGTCCTGCTCAGTGCTTTTGCTTTTTTGCAGAACATTGTCACTGAAGGTCTAAATCCGTTGCCGCTTGCTCCTGTTCTCAGTTTTGTTTTCTAGATTGCATAGGATCTGTTTATCTGTTCAAATCAAGTCTGACTGTTTCTGATCAGTTTCTACGTAGGTGGTTTTAACCATTGCAGTAATTCTGCCCTTTCACATATATTGAGACAATTTTCCAGTCTTTTTAATTAGATGCTTGACTTTCCCTCCCTTCAACATCTTGTATTTTGCAGGTTTGACTCCAACAGCAGATGATGATGAAGCATTACGCTTTGTCATCCATGATATTCTTCAGAAAGTGACCGTGGGACAAAGTGCTGTTTCCCTGAAGCAAACAGAGACCAAATCAAACAACTCTTCGATGTACTGCGGAAAAACCAAAATCTTTATGACCAATTTCATGGTAAGCACGTTACATTCACCTCCTGGAAGAACAAGGGTGTGCTTCTGCAATACAAATCAAAGCCCAGTTCCATTATAGACAATGACAAAACTGTTGACTTCAGTGGAACCACGTTATTTAAAAAAAAAAAAAAAAACTTTTACACTTTGGTATGTGGTGAGAACGCTCCAATGGGAGTAGGCATTTAGTCTTTTAAAAACCCCATCTCCATTGTGTCAGGGACATGAGGTATTCACCCAGACTGTACCTGTTTCCATGCCCACTCATTTGCTATTGCTCGTCACAGGTGCACTGAAGATTATATTCAGTTTCAGGCTGATAAATTTCATTCCTCTCCTATGTGTCAAATCTCCTGTTCACCACTTGCTTAACATGTTGCTGAACTTATAGCTACATGCTTTGCTGAACTGGGCCTAGGCTAATGAAGCAGACCACTTTAAACAAGCTTCTTGCATTGGCTTTGATAGAAAGTCTCTTTCTTCTAGGCACTTTCCCACCCCTAGGTCTCTTCCCTCTCACTTTAGGAATAGCAGACTATCTAATTAGTATGTCTTTTCTTTGGCTTTTAAAAACATGATCTACAGTTCTAGAAACTGAAATATTTTCATGTCTCCATGGAGACATTAACCCACCACTGTTTAATAGTTTTCTGAAATGTGTTCATGCAAAATACCAAAGGATCCATCTTCTAAATTAATGAAAAATGAGAGGCCAATCACAGCTTTTCCCTAAATGACTGAATGAATATGCAGTCTACTAATGGCAAGATTTTTTCCTTGCCACAGCTAGAACAGCTTGAAGCTAGAAGAGCAGCAGTACTATCTGAGAAAGCATTTTGCATTCAGTGTTGCTGGAGAAGATTTAAGCAGAGGAAGCTATCAAAGCAGAGATGGTCTGCTACCATCATCCAAGCAGGTAGGTGAAAGCCGATACAGGTGTGGTTGTGATGTCCAAAGGTAATTTTTCCAGATGGGTTAAATAATATTCAAAGTGCCAGGGTCTGGGTGCCATAACTGAACATTGGCACAAAGTTTACAATTAGGAAATGTATACAACTGGCTTTGTTACAGGTAAAGGCTTTGAGATCCTCTATACACCAGTTCCTTTATTCTTGACTCTTCTGATTAAATCTTCAGCTATTCGCTCCTGGTTAGCAAAGAAACATTTTCAAGGAATGCGCCGGGCTGCTACTGTTATAAAGCGTGCCTGGAGGAAATGGAAAGTAAGTACCATACGAACTGCATTGAGTCAGTGTCTGGTTGCCTGCTTCTTTTTATGTGTTTAAAAATATTCTCCTCCTTCAGGTAGTCATAAGACAACTTAAAAGTACAGTGCTGTGACTTGCTGTTTTATTCCTTCCTTCCCATTATTATAAATATGCCTCCTGTGTCTCTTAATGGGAAAGGAGAAAACCAGTCTCTGTAGTCTCCTCTCCTGGGACCAGAGTTAGTTTTCTCAAGCTGAAGGATGGGGGAAAAAGGCAAGAATTCAGAATTCAATCCTGCAGTTAGTCCCCTTTGAGGGCAGCGGGATCAACTCCTCAGTTGCTCTTCAGCTTCATTTAATGGAGAGTTAGTGTTTTAACCAGCCACCTAGACTCTTTTAATTCTGCAGAATGTTGTCCTAGTGGTTAAATTGCCCATGTTGTTTTTGGAAGATTCTAATAACTTAAGGGCATAGGGGGCTACTTCTGAACTAGCTACCTCTGCTCCTTTCAGTCTCTCAGGAATATTGTTTTGTCTCTCTTCCCTAAGGCAAGAATGGATGCGCTAGCAGCAGAGGAGCTGGATTACGCTGAAGAAAAATTCCATTCCCCTGTTCCTGGTGCTACCGTTTCCTTAGACCGGTCACCTAGTCCACTGGAAAAGACTTGGCCTCTAAGTGCAATAATCCAGTTCTGGCCTCTTGGACTAGTTCTATCTACTGCACCTGTTACAGTGGTTGGGTTTCGAAGAGACCTGTCCCTTCTGGCATGCTTGAAAATACTTCATCGGAACAACGGTTACAAAGTGGAGAGCAATCTGTTCGGCTGTGGCATCACCTCCATTAGAGCACTCCCACAGGTAACGTACCTAACACTGAGAACACTTCAAAGTCAGCAGTATGACCTGACATGCAACAAACTCTGGTTATTACGTAACGGCATAGTTAGTGAGATTTACTGTCCAAACTTGAGCCTTTTGTGCTTGTAAGACACAGCCTCGCCCCATGAATGTCCAAGGCTGAGCGAGACTTCCTGGCTCAGCCAGACTTCCTATGACCTTAGGCATGTCATTTAACTTATAATTATCTGTGCAGTTTCATAACTTGTGCACTCCATCAGGACACTGAAGGTTAATATAGTGCTGGAAGCATTTTTGAGACGAAAATGCTTGCAGAAGTGCTAAGTATGGGCCTATAAAAAATCTGCGACACCAGGGCTTTCCTAGTTCAGTGTTGCCCTCCTCTGAATTCTATCTCCTCTCCCACTTCTCTTTGTTTCCAGAAAAGAGCAAATTGGGGAAAGATTCAGTTAGGTAAAACTACCCCCAACAGGTCAAGTCACAACCCCACACTTGCTTCTCCATAAACTGCTCTTTACTTAAAGGCCTAGCATTTTTTAGTCCTGTTTCTCAGCATGAAATAAACTCAGACGCCATCATAGGACGCTAAGCATGAAGGAACATTTGTGTAAGGTGATAAATGTGCTCAGCACACGGGGGACCTAAATTCCAACCACTGGTTGCATGCAAGTTAGCATTCAAAACCAAAATCTCCTATTTAAAAATGTAGTACTGTAGCCCCTGCTGGTTTGAAGGGCTTATTGTACAAGTTCTTCTCTGCTGTAACTTCCCTGAAGTCTGAGGGCCAGATTTCCCCACCCCTACGTACAGGGAGTTGTATTTATTCGCTCTGCAGGTAGTCTAACGTCAGTGGGTTGGTGACTGGTAGCAAACTGAGCCCAGTGTGTGGCTGATTTCTTCCCCCTCCCCTGCAATTAAAAACTAATTATTTTTCTTCCTAGGGCTCTGTCAAGTTTCACTGCAAGAAGTCTCCTCTGCCTCACGCAAACATCAGTCCACATGACCAAGCCTGTATGATCGCTGGATTCAACCAAATCTTACTAGATAGGGGAAAACTGCTCACTACATAATATGAACTTTTGGCCACCATAAATATTTATTGCACTTTCTCCTTCAAGGAAGGACTTCTTTCAAGCTGCTGCTTCTAAATGTTTTAATCTATCTACAATATTCCTGTATGAGACAAATCAATTTTAAAAATATCAGCTGCTACCCTGGAACCTTGATTCCTCCCCCCACCCCAGTCACATATGTAAGTATTACAGATATATTGGCCATTAGCACAGATTTCTTACTTTCTCCTACAGGTAATAGAGGAAGTATTAATACCAAGAAAACACTACAGTAGGACAAACAATCACAACAACCTTTAATAGAACTAAATTATTTTTGGGGAAATAATTGAACAAATAGCTCTATGATCTGATGTAAAATATCCTTCCAGCCCTCCACTGCATAGGGAAAAGTAAGAGGTCAACAGTGAGTTTTTCAAGAAATCTGAACACTAGTAGGGATCATCCCCCAATCTCTTCTTCCCCCCCGAGGCAAACATACAGCCATTTACCTCGAAGAGCACTAAAATTCAACAGGTTGCTAATGCTTATGAATAAAATACAAGAATTGGTGGAGCTTAGTGCTGGACACAACTGTCTCAGGAAAAGTGGGATCATAAGACTGGGCTCAATGTATCTGACCAGCTGAAGAAAAATTAACATGCTGCTTTTAAGCAGTTAAATTGTATTGCTCCAAACTCAGATAAAAGTATACAACAAGTTTCACCCTCTTGATGCTGCTAAGGTCCAGAGCCCTTCACTGTTGCACCCATCCCCAGGATTAGGGTCAGATTGTGGAGGGGCAGAAGTGTTTCTTAGCATGGGAACCTTTAGAGCAAGAGAGAGCTCAAAAGGGCTCTTTTCCTCTTGCTTGACCTGAAGCAGGGAAATGTATGTTTTGTTTGTTAATCTTCCCTACCTAGCATTTTAATAAATATCTTGTGCAGCTCTCTGGACTCTAATTTCTCAGCAAGGTTTGTCAAATGCTTGAAGGATAAAGTTTTAAACACTAGGGGACTTAATCTAACCTTTCTCCTTCCTTACACACCTGACAGCAGCAATGCCTAGCACAGCTACTGTTGGCAATGGAACCTGTACTAAGAGAAAGTAAGTCACAGCACTAAAACACTAACCTTCAATTACACCTAGTAGATGCATACATATTCCTCCTCTCTTCAGCCACCTGTGACATAGCTTACCCTATGACAACGCTGGAGGTGAGAATTAGAGTGCAGACATCCAGGAGTTAAATATGTTTTACTGGGTAGGGGGGGAGAGAGAGAGAACCATCTGAGGCTGTTTCAGCAAAGCACATGGTAATAAAACATTTCTTCCAGGTTTAGAAAAATTCATGATTAGTTCTGTTCCTGAAGAGTCTCACTCCAAAAGCCAATTCTCTTTCTCTGGAGGTTCAACAACCCTCAAGCAGCAGTCTGCAAACTCCACAAATAATGGCTCTTGCATATATATTTTCATGAGGGAATCTTTTTCTTTGGCTTGATCTACAGTTAACAGAAGTTGCTGCAGATGGGGGTTGAGTAGTAAGCTTCTCAGTTCTTTAGACTCCCCTATTTTAAAAATAGAAACTTAATTAAAGGAGGAAGAGTGCCACATTGAAATTAAAACATGCAGGGGATTAATCATGGGTTTGAAAGTGTGTTTTTTGTTTTTTAAAATCAACCTAATGCTGCATCTGCTTGAGGAAACCAGAAAAACTTAATATGTAGGAGGGAAACTTACACACATATTTAAGAGGAAAAACCCAAGCCCAACCTTTCCCATTATCTGTTGTCTAAGAGGACTTAAACTCACCCCCCAAAGCTTCAGCAGATGCTACTTTTGTAAATACCTAATTTCCTGCAATTGGAGAATAAGTCCAGCAGTACAGTCAAAGAATGTGTTGCTTATTTGTCCTTGTGTATGTGCTATGGTACTCCCAATTCAGTTTATTTGGAAATTACTCTTAGTTTTTGTACAAAAACTAACACACACCTTACTAATGGTATAATAAAGATTCCCATGAAGAACTAAAGACCGAGCACTGAATTTCTCAACTTAGCTTTTAATAGAATTCTTAGGTGTTGACTGAAGCAGAACTGGTGTCAGGTCTTACAGTAGACATCACACATTAATTTTAAAGATTACCTAAGAGTTTGAGTTTCTGCAATGGAACTCTGTCCACCTCATCATCTTCTGTCAGGATATCATCTACAGACCAATGGCTTCCTAAGACAAACAGAAATGTGGTTTAACTGATAAAATAGAAAGAAATGTTCATCTTGTTGCTGTGACTCCTATCTACTATCCCTCATTTAGAACTCAGATGCTTTGCATCACCCACTGGCAATGGGGTAAACCTCAGCTGTGAAATACCTAGACTCCTTCATCCCACTTTCCTGTAACCTTCTGAGTACCATTCAACGTAGAGGTCTCTAGACAAGACCTTACACAGTTGTAATACCTGAAACACTGAATAGGTATTCACTCACATGGCACTTTCTAAAGAAAAAGGACTTGGCCCTTCTGCTTTTGGTATAAATGTAGAGGACTCATTTGAAAATCTGGACAACTACCCATTCAAGTTTAGTCTTAGCTACATATTTAATTTAAAATAAAAAAGCAGGTGTTCCGATTAAACTCACATGTGTTAGCTATAGAGCCCATTAGCTTGTTACAAGGTACTTTACAAAAGATAGCTATTTAGTAGAAGGATTCTGGGTTCTAAGCATATTCTAACCAGCTAAAGGAACAATTCTATTAGGAAGCAGTACTATTCCAACCAAACAGGCTACATTCTACAGTTATAGAAAAACTTTCCCTCCCTTACATAAACAATAGCAGGCATTTGCTAAAACAGGCAAGTATTCAGCAAAAAGTAGGAACAATTATAAGACTGTTTCAAATTACAGCCTTTATAATAATGTGCTTTAATTTTATGTATTAAAAAACCTGTCTATTTATGGGGGGATTAAATGTATTTAGGCAGTTTTAACAGGTTTACAAATCATTGCATTTAAATATCAGACAAAATTATAATCATTACCACAATGAGCTTTTGTTTAGAAAAACATTACATAGCAATCTAATCATTAGATCTCTCTAACTATATTACAGAGAAAGCCTCTTTACCGTATCCAGGATGTGGTGTTTCTGGTACTTTTATTGGAGAGAGTGAAACTTTTGATGACATTTATTAAATCAGGCATGTCTATCCACTGTTAATATAAAATAAGTGGACAGTTGTACTTTTTTTCCCTTTAGCAGACAAATGTTTTTTGCCTGAATACTGAATAAATGGTAACCAAATACCTATTTGTCCTCTATTTTTCTGGGTACATAATTGGTGTGTTAATTTTTCCTAGTCCCTAGGTTTTGGGCTATTTTTCTTTCTCCAATGAGAAACTAGCAGTAACCAAGCAGATGAAAGATGATCTCTTTGGTTCTTTTTGTGTGACCATTTCTGCTAAGAAGCCACAGAAGGCTCATTTGGTAATCGATATCCAGAATTTATGCTTTTAGTACATTTATAAAGGAAGCAAACATACCTTCATTTTCCACTGGTTTAACTCTTCTGAAAGGTGAGGATGGGTCTGTAATCAGCGTCTTTACAACCTGATCCTGTTTGGGTCTGCACTGTTCTATGAAAAATTCAAAGTTACATGAATTCTCCACAGTAGGAAGGTCACAGCTTAGCAGTATCTTAAAAACTCGTTTCGAACAATGTACAACGCTGAGCCAAAGTCATCTTCTTACCTTTATGCTTCTTGTAGCAGGGGACAGAACAACTACAACAAAGAAAAGTGTAAGTGAGTATAAAAAAAGAGCCTTTTTTTCTTCTTTTTTTTAATAAAACACCCGTTAACGGGTGCCTGTGCGCCACCAGAGACTAACTGCAGCCACGCTCCTTGCAGAGAAAGCAACCTCGGGGATAAGCAGCGGCTCCCCGAGGAGCAGCGAAATGAGTTATCCCCGCTCCCCGCACGGGGGCTGGGCCCAGCAGCGCTTGTGAACCAGAAACGAAGCGTCTCGCTGTTGTAGGACAGAGGGGGCGCCCCCCCCCTCTCCCCTCCTGCCCCCCCGAGGGGGAAAGAGCCATCGCGGGGCTCCGGGGACTGCCGCGCCCAGCTCTAACCGGCGGCGGGCGGAGAACGAGGATCCCCTTCCCTGCCGCAGGCCGCTGCCCGGAGGGCGGACCCGTCCCGGGCGGAACGGCCAGGCAGCCGGCACGAGGGTCCCTTCGCAGCTGAGGGGCCACGGGCCACTACTGCAGGGGGAGGGGGAGCGGCCCAGACCGGGAGCCAGGAGGCCCCTGCCGGGGGGGGGGCGGTCACGGGAGGAACCTGCCGTGCCTGGGAGCCGGGTGCCCCTACCGGGGGGGGAGGGGGCTGTTTAACCGGCCGTGACCGGGGAGGGGGGGGGCCCCCCCCCGCACTCACTATCTGGCCCGGCAGCCCGGGCAGCGGTACCGGGGGGCGCCGCGCCCCGCGCACACGCAGCAGCCGCCGCCGCCGCCGCCCTGCCGCTCCATGCTCCGTCCGCTCCCAGCCGCCGCCCGCGCTCCGGCCCCGCCCCAAGCCCCGCTCAGCCGCGCGCCCATCGCCTCCACCCGGCTCTACTAATCCATCGCCGATGCGCGCCGCCCCCAGCGCGGGGGGGGGGAGGGGCTAGAGGCCCCTGGCTGGAGGCTCTGGGTCAGCCCCTGCCCGCTGGACTGGGGGCCTTGGCCGATGGGGACACCCCGAGCAACAGCAGGAGACAAGATGGGCGCGGGGGGGGGGGGGCGGGAAGAGAAGAGGAATTAAGGAGACAAGACCCAGGGCCAGGCGCTTAGCACCTAGAGCATCACGGCTGGCCGCCCTTAACAGGCACTCAGATGTTTCGGAAGCAGCCCCTGGTGCGAGAACGGGGTCGTGTCTGGTTTCAGAGGAGCAGCCCTGTTAGTCTGTATTCGCAAAAAGAGGAGGAGGACTTGGGGCACCGTAGAGACTGGGCCCGAGGGACGTGCAGGCTCCTGCCACCCAGGGGTGCACGTACGGAGCGCTGGCTGAACACCTGTTCTGTTCACGCCCTCTGGGGGCCCTGGCATGGGCCACGGTCCTTGGGTCTGAGCCCCTGTGGCCTCTCTTATGTTCATGGTTCCAGGGCTCCCAGCCCTTAACTGAGAACCACTCCCCACCCTGTCCTTCCTTACCGTGGGAGCGGAGGGGTGCTGTGTTACATATTTGGAAAGAACAGCCTCAGGTGACTGAAGCATCTCACCCTTGTACTCAACTTCCTCGACTGGCTCCCTCCTACGTCCATCTCTTCAACCTACTTCTATTGCCTTCACCCCAGGAGTGGCTGAGCACGTCCCAGAAATTAAAATACAAACAAAACTCTCTCCTTTTTCCTCCTTTGTCGCCATTAGTCATAGAATTGTTTGCTTCCAGTTTTAAGACAGGTGTTTTAAAAACAGCAATAGGGCATCTAGCTGCATCTTTGGGTGCCTAAATACCTTTAAAAACCTCGTTCTTACACCTTATTTTCAAGGCTCAGAATGGTCTGGTTCCAAGGTACATAAAAAAAACCCTCCTCCACCCACCAGATCCGTGCCTCTGCCACTCCCCAGAACCATGACCCTGTCTAGAGATTCCAGGGTGACACACATGCCTTGAGGAGACAGCACTATCGCAGGGATGGGCCCATAACTTCACTCCCACAGGACCAAGGAAGGACACCTCACCACTTTTATTTTCAGTCCTGCAATGAGTTCGGATACTGTGCTGATGGACATGGTGTAAGAATCTGAGAACCCATTAACTCATTTTACTTTGCTTCTAAATATTGAGCTGCTTTCCAGTTAACAAAGCATTTTTCCTCTTCTCCTGGCTGGAGTTTCTATTGTCATTAGCTAAATTTATGATAACTCTACTTACCTTTGAGACCTTTGCGTAGCTTCCACTTGCAAAGAAAGGGTGGGCATGCAGCTGTAGCTTTTCAACCCAATTTCAGGGCCCTGGGGATATTCCAGCTGGAAGGAGAAATTGATGGAATCTGGTATTTTCTTTGGTGCAATCTCGTTTATATACAAGGAATGTACAAAATCCCACTCCTCACAAACATAGGAAGAACCAAAAACAACCTGAGCAGTTTCTTAGCTTACAGCTGCCAGTATCTTTACAGACTCAAAAGCTCTCTCTAGTTTTTTCTAGGATATCACACCCCAGACTTCAGAGCCCGAGATCTAGCCTGAGCTGCAATGTCTACACAGCTGTTTTTAGAACTGTAGGCGAAGCCTAAATGTGTCAACCTGGGCTCTGAGCCTCACTCTCACAGGCTGTGTAGACATACACTTAGTTACACTAGAGGCCCACATAAAAGAGAAGGTCAGGTCTGCTGCCCCAGAAGAATTTTTTTCTCCTCCTTTTTGAGTCACTCTTCTTCTCTCCCCTCCCCCCATCCCTTTTAGATGGTTGAATTTAGTTTGATGCATCCAGACTGGATATTTTTGTTGACTACAGTGACACCTGCTGGAACGAACCTTTCAATGCTCTACAAAGTCAACTACGGGGGAGATTTTCAAAGGCATAAAACAGGAGTCAGGTGACCAACTCTGATTAGCTTTTCATTGAGAGTTTGGCTCAAGCTGCCTTTTGTGCCTTTGAAAATCTCCCTGTAAATTCATGCAACTTCAACAGATATTTGGCACTTTTTACCTGGGAGACGATGGGCTCATTCTATTCTATTCTTCCTAGAAACATTACCTACAAGCAATCTACATCAGCATGACCTGCTTTGTTCACTAGGAGCCTGAAAATTAGACAGACAGACAGACAAATCAATGTGAATTTGATGAACCTCAGACTATGGATCACTTTTTGGAACATTAAATATCTATTGTATTCACACAAAGAAAACATTAGTTCGTTTAATGTTAGTTAAGGTTACACTGTCACTTCAATAACATCTTCTTCAAGTACTGAAAAACTAGCAGACATATAGTTAAGAACCACGCTTCTATTGCTCTGTCTATACCCATATAAAATGTGTTAACTCTTGCCCATTGCTATCCTCCTTCTACAACTCGTTGTTCATGCCCCTGGCTCTGTACAGTCCCATGCAGCCTTAACTCCAAAATACATACAAGGACAGCACACGTGTTCAAAGAAATGTCAAAACCATCACATCTCTTAAAAGAAGAAGTTATAGTTTTAACTATATAGTTATAGTATGTCTCCTTCTCATATGTATATTGGATTTAAGGCTGTATGGTAGTTTACAACAAGGAGACAAGGTTAAAAGTTGTTCTCTTTTTCACAGCAATCCACAAACAAAAGCATATGTCTCCTTCCTGGATAAACTACCATACATGTTGCTTTGCTCTCGCTTTTAAAGAGGGAGTTGCTCACAGTGCTGTTTTCCACATAGTCCTGCTCTGGAGAAGCTTCTTGTGAGAAATAGAGGGACCCTCTTACAAAATACTCATACATTTCTCCCTCTCCCCCACTCTCTCTATTTTGTTGGTCTAGGGATGGGCCTGGAAGAGGGTTAGAGGCATCATTAGCTGAGATGAGATTCTGAAATAGTCTGGAATTTAGATGGATAAAGGGAGAGGCACTCTTCCAGACGAGAGGGACAGAGTAGGAAAAAATATGAATTCTCCATGAAAAAATAGGGATTCTGAAAAGAAAAAGAGAGAACCACTGGCTCTGTACTGTGGCTATGGTAATAATCTGCTACATGGAGTGACATATTTCTGGAAGGAATCCCTTTATAAGACACCGCAAAGGGATGGACACTGTAGAGCACATTATACATTCTCCAAGTGATAATAGCATCCTGCAGGTTACTGCCGGTTGATCAACAAGTCTCAGTTCCATGCAAGGTGATCAGAAGTGCTAGACTTGAAAGCTAGTGTCCATGTTTGATCTGAAAACAAGTAGAGGGAGAAGGGACCCCCTAAATGGCCACAAGATAATCGAAAGCAAACATTTACTTCTTTGCAGAGTTAATGGTTAAACTGAATGGTTATACTGGCATAAGAAAAGGTTCAGAGAAGGGCAACTAAAATGATTAGTTTCAGAGTAGCAGCCGTGTTAGTCTGTATCCGCAAAAAGAAAAAGGAGTACTTGTGCACCTTAGAGACTAACAAATTTATTTGAGCATAAGCTTTCATGAGCTACAGCTCACTTCATCGGATGCATTCAGTGGAAAATACAGTGGGGAGATTTATATACACAGAGAACATGAAACAATGGGTGTTATCATACACACTGTAACGAGAGTGATCACTTAAGATGAGCTAATGGGGGGGGGGAGAAAACCTTTTGTAGTGATAATCAAGGTGGACCATTTCCAGCAGTTGACAAGACTGTCTGAGGAATTGGGGGGGGGGGGGGGAGTACACCAGTCGGAGATCACTTCAATCTCTCTGGTCACTCAATTACAGACCTAAAAGTCAAAATATTACAACAAAAAGACTTCAAAAACAGACTCCAACTAGAGACTGCTGAATTGGAATTATATTTGCAAACTGGATACAATTAACTTAGGCTTGAATAGAGACTGGGAGTGGATGGGTCATTACACAAAGTAAAACTATTTCCCCATCTCCCCACTGTATTTTCCACTGAATGCATCCGATGAAGTGAGCTGTAGCTCACGAAAGCTTATGCTCAAATAAATTTGTTAGTCTCTAAGGTGCCACAAGTACTCCTTTTCTTTTTTTAAAATGATTAGGGGTTTGGAATGGGTCCCATATGAGGAGAGATTAAAGAGGCTAGGACTTTTCAGCTTGGAAAGGAGGAGACGAAGGAGGGATATGATAGAGGTCTATAAAATCATGAGTAGTGTGGAGAAAGTGAATAAGGAAAAGTTATTTACTTGTTCCCATAATATAAGAACTAGGGGCCACCAAATGAAATTAATGGGCAGCAGGTTTAAAACAAATAAAAGGAAGTTCTTCTTCACACAGCGCAGAGTCAACTTGTGGAACTCCTTGCCTGAGGAGGTTGTGAAGACTAGGACTATAACAGGGTTTAAAAGAGAACTAGATAAATTCCTGGAGGTCACGTCCATTAATGGCTATTAGCCAGGATGGGTAAGGAATGGTGTCCCTAGTCTCTGTTTGTCAGAGGGTGGAGATGGATGGCAGGAGATCACTTGATCATTACCTGTTAGGTTCACTCCCTCTGGGGCACCTGGCATTGGCCACTGTCAGACAGGATACTGGGCTGGATGGACCTTTGGTCTGACCCAGGATGGCCATTCTTATGTTAATGAATGTTAGTTACCAGAATTCATCTTACAGTCTGGGTAGCACAAAGCACAAGCACAATACTCACGTGATCACTCACGAACATCAGCCTGATAAAGGGCAGTTTGAGTTTCGGTGCCTTTGGATTTATGATTTGCATTTGTTTTGCAGCATAAATGATCAACAGAAGTGACAGGCAGCATTGTAGGTTTATCAGCACACTGATGAGGAAAATGCAATACACACTCAGGTATCACAGTGATAAGCATATTGTAACTATCCAGAGTATTTTACTTCTTATTTTCAGCACTGGATCTACAGTTCCTGTGAAACTAGAGGACCACTTGCAAATCCTGCTTCCCTTACTCACAAGTTTA